GGGGACGTCCCTCAGCGGTGAATTGTTATTGGCTCTGGGCAAGGCCACCCTGAGGTTCATTCACAGCAGTGACAGTCTGATGTGTGTGTGTGTGTGTGTGTGTGTGTGTGTGTGTGCTATTATAAGCCTGGCTCTTTGTCTTCCTCCCGTCTTCCAGTTCCACTTTCTGAACGAGATGCAGGGAGAGGAGGAAGTGACCTATATAGGCTGCATCTCTCACTCTGTCTCTGGTTCTTTCATCTGCACCAGCTTCCTGTGTGTGTGTGTGTGTGTGTGTGTGTGTGTGTGTGTGTGTTAGAGAGAGAGTGCAGTGGAGGCACGTATGAATAATTCAGCAGATGCCTCAACACGACCGCCTTCAATAAAACCATCCCCCTTAATGAGCCTTAATGACAGCCACGGTGTGGAGACAATCAAACCCTGTGTGTGTGTGTGTGTGTGTGTGTGTGTGTGTGTGTGTGTGTGTGTGTGTGTGTGTGTGTGTGTGTGTGTGTGTGTGTGCGTGGGTGGGTAGGAAGAGGAACATCAGTGCTGCTGTGTGGTTGGCTGAATAATCATGTGTGTTTGCAGCGGCACACACACACACACACACACACACACACACACACGCTCCCCCTGTTTGTTCAGGTACAGAGCCGGTGCTGCCTTTGCCCCGGGCTCTGTCAAAGTTGCCCCGGGTAAAAACTACCTGAGACTTTGAAAAAGCAGATGAAAGCTGACTCCTCAGCAGGGGTGGAGCAGCAGCAGCAGCAGCAGCAGCAGTAACAGCAGCAGCAGCAGCAGCAGCATCAGCAGTAACAGCAGCAGCAGCAGAAGCAGCAGTAACAGCAGCAGTAACAGTAGCAGCAGCAGCAGTAACAGCAGCAGCAGCAGAAGCAGCAGTAACAGCAGCAGTAACAGTAGCAGCAGCAGCATCAGTAACAGCAGCAGCAGCATCAGCAGCAGCAGCAGCAGCATCAGCAGTAACAGCAGCAGCAGCAGCAGTAACAGCAGCAGCAGTAACAGCATCAGCATCAGCAGCAGCAGCAGCAGCATCAGCAGTAACAGCAGCAGCAGCAACAGCATCAGCATCAGCAGCAGCAGCAGCAGCAGCAGCATCAGCAGTAACAGCAGCAGCAGCAGCAGTAACAGTAACAGTAGCAGCAGCAGCATCAGTAACAGCAGCAGCAGCATCAGCAGCAGCAGCAGCAGCAGCATCATCCTCCCTACTCATCACTTCTTCAGGCGTGTTTGTGAGTTTGAACTCCAAAATGACTTAATCTCTCCTCCTCCTCCTCCTCCTCCTCACCCCCCCTCCTGACCCCCCCTCACCCCCCACTGGTGCTGACTACACAATAATCTACTGTATGTTCTTGCCTTTCAAATCTTTCCAGCCAGACCTTCTACACGCAAACGTTTGAGGCTAAAACAAATCATCACACGAAGAAACTTTCAAAACAAAAAAAAAGAAAAAAGTTATGTTTCACTTCGTGTGTAGCGTAAAAAAACAAAGATTTATGTTTGGATCGCAAATAAGAAAAGGTGAGAAACACAAACGTCCACCTGTTGGTGTTGGAGTTTCTGCTCCAGGAAAATATTTTAAAACTTTTAATTCAGATATTTATCTGGATTAATCCTGATTATTCATGCTTAATTATGATGCTAATATTGTTATGCTAATATCGATCGGACGATATAATCGGACCAATATTAGCATAATTATGTAACATCTGTAAGAATCGTTATCAGGTTTTCAATAAACCGACGTCTGGGTTTCGCCCAACGATGCGCGTGTGTCCTAAACATTGTTTTGGGGACAAACGGATGTATGTGAAGGTGAAAGCCACTAGATGGCAGCATTTCAGCTCATTTTAATAATCAGGGGATTGTTGCTGAATGCTGGTGCAGTAACTCAGACAATGGTTCGTACAGATAAATAAATTCATATTACCAGGTCCACATCGGCATCGGTTGATATTCTCCTTTCGCTCCCTCAGCACATCGCAGATTTTTTTTTTAATCTGATCTCGGGAAAGTTTGCTATATCGCAAAATATAGAAAAAATTAAACTAAATATATGAAATCTCGGGAAAGTTTGCTATATCGCAAAAATAGAAAAAACTAAACTAAATATACGAAAACATATGAAAGTTTTGGCCTTTAAAATGTGGATTCTTTTTTTGAAATTAAGATAAGACCATTTGTGAACGATCGCCGGTAGCTTTGTTTACCTAGACAAGATCGTACACGGCATACTATTGGCTAGTTTAACATGCTCTTCTGTTCCTCACTCTGATTGGTTCGTGCACCACATTCTACAGTCTGGGGAGCGGTGATAACAGTGGGGGGGGGGGGGGGGGGGAGTTCGTAAAGAGTAAATATATACGGAAATAATAACTATCTTGCCTCTACTGGATCGCACATCAAAGTATTTTGATCTGTTTGGGTTCTGTAGTTGTAACGTTAGTCGGATGATGTGGAGGACAGTGGTCGGATGTTCTGTCTACGTCTGATGAACGAACAGATCGTTTCTGTTCATAAGACACAAAACGTAACTTTTCTCCTCCCTGGTGTCGTGTTTTAAAATATTTCTTTCGTCCACTCTGGTCTCCGACTCATTTCCTGTCCAAACGTCCGCTCCGGGCCTTTGACCCAGTGTTCGGTGTCTTCCAGTCCATCTGCTGCCCGCGGCGCCGCTGTCCGTCGTGGTCCGCGGAGCCACAGACGACCGCAAAATCGTCAGCCCAGCAGCAGATGTAAAGGCCACTGTTGGCCCACAGGTGTCACTGCCCAAACATCTGTGCCACCAGAGGTGGCCGGTCTCCTGGCGATGATAAATGACTGGTTCCTCGGCCGACGCGACTTCAAACTCTGGAGCTCTGCAGCGACCACGACAAACAACAACAAACAGCTGGTTTTCTTTCTGTCTCCTTTCACTGTAGTAATTTGAGAGTGGAGTTAGAGGAGTCCGGTGGACACGTGGGACAGTACCTGTGTCCACCACTTGTCCTCGCCTGTGTCCTTATGAGAGAATCAAAATTAACCAATCAGAGCCAGCCGTGAAGTTACAGTTTACAACAGGAAGTGATCGACACTGAAGTAAAGAAAAGAAAATGGTCTGGATGTAGTATTTAGATTTAAGTGTAAGGTGGCTCGTAAGCAGAGAACAGAGAGTCCTGGGTTCGATTCCCGGAGGAACCACAATATCTAGCGCCTATAAATATCTATATTTGTGTCATTTATTGTCGTCTTTCAGCGCTGCCCCCTACCTTACTCATCGTGACACTTCAACTGTTGACGCACAAATTTAAGCGGTAAACTTGGCGCCTCCAAGGGGCAGCGTGTTGCAGTACATCAGCTGTTCACCCAAAAGTTTCCCAAGTGTGGGATCATATAAGTTGAAACCATTGAACATCCTTCACCAACACGGAGCTTCACCGTCAGGCGGCTCCACGACCACGGAGCTCTGGTGGGCCACGTACGAAGAACGTCTAAGTTCTTACTAAGTTCTCAGTGTGCGACGATTGTCGTCGTTGATTCACTCTGAGCCCAAATCCATTCAAACCCTCGATGACCAACGGTCGGTGCTAGTTGTTGTCCTCCCCACGACTGTTAAACACGTGCAACACCGCACCAGCTAACGCCTCACAACGTCACGAGTGGAACCGTTAAACTGCGATATGAATTTGTTGTCGCTACGGCGTGAAAAGCTGAGCAGATTTTCAAGCCAAGCTATTTTTGAATGGGAATCATATTTTCCTGTTTTCAGGTCTAGAAATATCTCCACCTCCCAAACAAGCTCGGGGATTTGGGACCTGACGTCCTAATAGAATGATTATTCAAATCTGGTCGATTCTGGAAACTGGCAGTGCACGGGGGCTGACAAGGTTTTCACTGAAACGGTTTTCCTCTGGGAACGACGCAGGACGCATTGTTTCCACATGTCCGCAGGAAGTAGAAACGGAGGTCAGCTGTAGATTAACT